TCTGATTTAAGTGTCGATTTGACTTAGTCAATTGTTTCTTTACTATAAAAACTATTTTACACCTTTCTGTATAAATATTTAGCTTAACTCCTTGTAACTAACCCCCTATATCTATGTTTATCGGGGTATTTCCTATACCCTGCCCATAAATGGCTAACTTTGAATGATTCGTTATTAGGTACCAGCCGGATAAATATCACTTTGGCTAGGCAAGTTCCATAATTCTACAATTTATTCCCGTATCACATTAATATTTTTGTAATTTATATTTGAGGCTTTAGAAATCCTGATATCATTCCATTTGTAAATGTCTGGCTTTATTGATTTGAATTAGTTTCCTACAAATGTTCTCACTAAGTGCCACTCCTTACTGATCCATGCGCCGGATGTTCATTTCTTTAACCATGCTGTTAGGACTTGGTTCTAGCAAACATCTTCTCTAAATCTGATCCAATATCCAAAATCTACATACCTGTTAGTGTTTTTCACTCTAGGAATACTACTTGTATCTGTAGTATAGGCGGCTAATTTATGCTAAGACAAAATCTTATTAGCTTCCACTTTCTCACTAAAGACTACTTCTGTTGAGTGTTCGAATGCTCCGAAGCTAGCTCATCCCAAATTTGCGTACGAACCTTCCCATACTTTCAAATAACTTCCTAAACTCATTAAGATGTTGATGTTTCTGTCTTTATTCTATCATATTTGTTTATGCAATTTCTTTAGCTTAATGGGTTAATGAACATTGAATACATGAGAAAGATTTATGGCTGTCAAATTAACTCGGCCTTGACTATTCTTGCTGGACAGCTTTCCACTATTTATTTTTTTTAATTCTTAATTTTTTTATGCATTTCGCCTCTTCAACTATCTTTAATCATCGTTTTAACTTTGCTTTTGCACTCCAAACTGGATTTTAAACTTCCGTATTATCTAACAGTCAAATACTTCTATTCTATACGGCCAATCTGCTATACAGCAATACCAGATCTAAAGTTATGCGATTATCAAGGGTTATTTTCAATTTAAATTTAGCATTCTCTATAATCGAAATCGAATTACCCTGACTTTATTCAGCTCTCTCATAGCTTAGAAACACGAAAACATTTACCAACCATGCAAATACTTCTTGTTTCGAGTTATATCTATATACATATATATATGTATAAGTAGATAGACAATGAACGATTTCTTTGCTATTTTTTCGTATCTGTAACGGTTATCAGTTACTTATCTGTGATTTTAACTTGCAATCCTTGAACCTTTTAATGTTTGTTTTATTCTAGGAGGCAGAGGATGAGACTAGCAAATTCGAGGCACTTCATCAACGGCGAACGCAACTGGCTGCATTCTGCAAGTTGGTAATTTATAACCTTGTACCAATTCGTTCTGCGGCTCCTCTCTATAAGCACTACATTCGATCGTTCAACGACTTTGGTGACATCATGAAATCGACCCTAGCTAAGTCGCGAGAGATCAGTCGTATACATACAGCTCGTATGATCGCACACTGCTTGAATCTGGCTTATTTGGATGTCCAGGCCTCTGATGTGGTAAGCTCAGAGTACCATTTAAATTTCGGTTTGTATTATTATGTTTTATCTTGTCAAATGGACTTCGCGTATGTCTATTTATAACATATGCATCGCACCTAAATCAAGTACCGTGATTTATTTAAATTAATTATGTTCCCTTACTTCCATACTTCGTTTCTATTTTCATAAATACTTCAAATATTTATGTTAGAATTTATCTTAAATAGAAATATTGCACTATTAACTTTGGCATTTATCTCTTGATTTTATTTGCTGGAATTTCATTGTTTGATTCTATTTTTCTAAAGGATGGCCGCGTAGAACGAGGATCCGAAGGCTTTCAGACTGTCAAGGAGCTAGCTCGTCGGCTTAATTTGAGCTTTGGACTCGATTTCATCAAGATTCGCGAGGCCATGGTTGCTCTTCATTCGGAAGGCATCCAGGTTTGTGTTGCCGCAGCTGCCTCTGCAGCTGCTATCAGCGGCCAGCTTCCTGGACGGCCTAGCAACCTCCTCTTTCTTGAAATAATGTCTGAATTCTCTAACAAACTTCTACGACAGGATAAGCGCAGCCTACTGGAATACGTTGGGAGGGTGAGTTGGATGCAGGATCACACTTGTGCATAATCTCATTAGCTCTTAACTCATTATCTTAGCGAATATATAATAATATTGTTGATTTAGATGGAATTGTATATTTCCCTTAGGTGAGCTGGGCTTTGATATTCTACT